CCCTATTTTATGAGGAGTCCTGAAACAGGCCTACAGTAGAGGCACGACCAATCCACCAATTACAAACTGGCTGTATGTTTTGCTTCCTGTTGGCATGGAGAAACAGAGGCACAGACTGACCACTTAACCCAATCCTAGATGAGGACAACACCTGGAGAGGGAAGGTAAACCTGGAAAGACACCAGATCCAGAGGGAAAATACAGACCTGGACAGCAACTTCAGAGACTCTAGTGTCACCCTCCCAGAATGATCAGGTGAAAGCCAACAACAGGAAACTACTGTGGCCAGAAATAAACTCCTCAGAGAACTGTAACCTCAAGCGTGGAAGGCCACTGGCCCTCCCTTCCATAAGGAGCAGATACCACAAGTGTCCACAATAAGTCTAAGAATCCACTTGAACCCCCACCGTGCAGCCTACATCCAGCAGAGACCAGAAAGCTGGTTGCATCTCCCACCTACCAACTGTAGCAACACTTTGGCTTGGACGGTACCCACAGGTGAATAGATAGTAGGGCCTCTGCTGCACGCAGGGCACCTTAAAAACCGAGACTCTGAAGCTAGGTGAAGAGAACTGTAACTGGCTGGATCCCAAGACTGCAATTTTTTCTTTGACTCAATCTTTGTCTTTGATGTTTCTATTTGTTATTATTTTTCTCATTTCATTAGATTTTTGAGAAAGTTGATACTGTTATCTGCCCTCTTTCTCTTTTACTTTATTTTCTCTTTCCTTTCAACTTTTTCTCTTTCCGCATCTTTTATTTCATTCTTTATATTTTGCTGTTTTTCCTTTCTCCTTATTTACTCTTTCCTGACTGTTCTCTAGCTATTAATTACCTTTTATTCCTCAACATGACCCTCAACTCACCTTTCTCTTTTTTCATGTTCCATTAATTATTTTTTTAATTTTGTTTTGTTCATTATTGAGTTCTTGAACAGAACTCTTCCTGCATGGGAGACAGCATCAAGATTCAACAAATAAATCATATTACATTACAAAGCTTCTACATAGTGAAAGAAACAACCAACAGAGTGAAAGACAACCTACACAATGGGGAAAATCTGCCAGCTACTTCTCAGGAGAACTAATACCTAGAATTATTAGAACTCAAAAAATGGACCCCTCATAAAGGATCCAAGGAAAAAAGTGTGCCAGTGAAATAGACATTTCACAGGGAAAAGAAATGCAAATGGCCAACAAACATGTGAAGGAATTTCCAACATCATTGGCCATTAAAGAAATGCAACATAAAGCAACACTGAGACTGGATCTTAGCCAAGAAAAAATGATGATCATGAAGAAATCAAATAACAAATGCAGGTGAGGCTTCAGGGGGAAAGGAACCCTTCTACATTGTTGATGGGAATGTGAACTAGCACAACCACTGTGGAAATAAGTATGGAGATGCCTCAAAAAATCTAAAAATAGAAATTTTATTTGACTCAGCTATTCCTTTTCTAGGTATCTTCCCCAAAGTGTTAAAGACACCATCTTACAGCGTGACATTCATACCCATGTTTATAGCAATTCATAACAGCTAGATCTTGGGAGCTGCCTATATGTCTATCAACAGATGAATGAATAAATAAAATGTGGTATTTATCCCCAATGGACTATTACCTGGCATAGAGAAAGAGAAACTTGAGTTACCTGTAGGAAAATTGATGCACCTTGAGACCATAATGTTAAATGAAATAAGTCAGGGACATAAGCTTAAGTATCACATGGTTCTCTAGTATAGAAACCAAATTTATAAATAAAGAGCAAATTAAAAGACAGACAATAGGATGTAAGGAAAAATGTGTAATAGTTAAAAAATTCTCATTGCTGAAACAGAATACCCAATAACCATAGTTAAAGGAAGGCTCATTTCAATTTACAGTTTACAGAGGTTTCAGTGCATAATCTGCTGGCTCCAAGGTAGGTTACAGTGGCAGACAGGCATCATGAGGGAGAAACAATTCACGATGGACAGAATGTAGCAAAGTAAGCAAGGGACAAGACAAGCCTCTTTCTGTCCCTTCTACTGTATCCAGGTTACCAGGACTAGGGTCTTGCCAAACTAACTGATAGACTGATTTAGTAATTACACACTCTTGGTCCTAGCATTGGACCATGAGTCAATCACACCCTCGATTCAACCACCTCAAAAAGTCCCACCTATGACTGCATGAGCCAACTATCTAGACACAGTGATAATGTTAGGTGTTTCTCATATGGGAAGAGGATGAAGAGATGGAGGGAGGGAAGGGAAGGGAAGGGAAGGAAAGGGGATAAAAAAAGAATTAAGCTGTGTTATATGTGTACTGCAAACATGGACTAATAACTATTAACTGAAATAATAATAAGAGAGAGAGAGAGGCAGGGAGGGAGGGAGAAAGAGACAGAGACAGAGACAGAGACAGAGACAGAGAGACAGAGAGAAAGTCCTACAGTTCTTAAATATAACTACCACCAAAACACAATTTATCCCCTGGTTATGTTATTTTTTTACATAAAATTAATACAATTCAAAAGTACCCCCAACTTTACAAGTGGAGGCAATAGAGGCACATAGAAGAAACTGATTCACCACGTACTTAACAATGAGCATATAGCATGCCAAACCCCACAGTCTAATGGAAATTACTAATAAAATTTAAAATATATTCAGAAACTTATATAAGCAGAAAATCAGTTATGTTATACTTCACAGTACATGTTGGTTAACACTAATTTTAAAATCCAAAACCTAAAATTCTCCAAAATCCAGAACTTTTTGAATGTCAACTTGACACTGAGTGGAAAATTTCTCCCCTCACCTTCTATGAAGGGTCACAGACAAAATGTAGCATAAAATTGATATAAATAATACAGCATAAAATTATCATCAGGCCATGTGAATAGGATATATATGAAACAAATGAACTTTTTGTTTAGAGTTGGATCCCATCTCCAAGATAGATAGATAGATAGATAGATAGATAGATAGATAGATAGATAGATAGACAGACAGACAGACAGACAGACAGACAGACAGACAGACAGAAAGATAGTCCAAAATCTAAAATGTTTTTGGTCCTAAACTTTTCAGATAGGGAATACTAGTCTTGTATGTCAAAGCTAGCAACTGCTTACAAAGAAAGTGTGCAATGCAGTGATTTCCTAACCACTCAAAGAAGCTAATCACTGCAGGACTGCTTTTATAAAATCCAGATTCCTTTTCATTCTTTTCAGAAGATACCCAAAAGAATTAAAAGCATCATACCACAGTGCTATATGTGCACCCATATTTATAGCAGCACAATTTGTCATACCTAAATCTTCTGAACAATCCAAATGCCCATCAAGAAGAATGGACTAAAAAAGAGATTTTTGAAAATACAAAAAAATCAGCCATAAAGAAGGATAACCTAAGACAGTTCTTGCTAAACAGATGGACCTTGACACCATACTCTTCAGTGAAATAAATTGGACACACTTGTCTAAATATTGCATTGTCTCTCAGGTGTGTAAAACCGAAAGTGTAAGTAAAGACTATAATGTTAATAGATATTAAGAAATATGGGGAAAATGCTAGAAAGGAAAAGGGAACTGGGGAGGGGAGGAAGGAATGGAAAATAAAAAATGAGGGGAGAAAAGGATAAAGTAAAAACAAAATTTTCTAAGTAAGGAGGGGAAGAGGGGTTGAAGGGAAGGGATGGGAATTGAAATAAGGGAGAAGCTAAGATATATCATGTTCAGGTACAAATTCCCTATGACAAATGCAGTAATTATACATATCTAAACTCTACCAATAATACTAATATTTTAAATTAAGTGTTGTGATTAGCTTCTCTGAGTGGTGGGGAAATCAGTGCATTACACGCAGATTCCTCGGCCTCCTCCAGCACTACCGTATCAGACACTGGGGATGAGAGCCTTGGAATGTGTATTTTCAACAAATGGTTAAGGCAATGCTCTTGGCATGACTACCCTATTGAACACATCTGGAATCGCCAAGGTTCTGGCCCACAAGTGCACTTAACTGTAAATTCAATTTTCATTTAGAAAATTTTCAAAGAATCACTGTCTACCTCTAAATGGGAGACTTGAAAGCAAATGCATTGTTTCTTCTTTCTCTTGCTTGTTTCTTTCCTTCAATGAACATGGATTACTTTTATCCTCAGGAGGGATCTTAAAAAGAACAGCAACTCTGTAGTGGGTCTAAACGCTTCTAAGGGTGGGGACCCACACTGCATTTCATTCGCAGGACTTCAGCAGGTGCCTTCTTTTAAGCAAAACCCCTGGCAACATAGCCTAGTCTGAGTTTGAAGGTAAAAAATATCATTTTTAATCATGGCCCAGCAATTAGGTTTAGCGAATGGTTTTTGTAAATGTGTTGACCTTCTTGTGATTCATTTTCTGTAGGCAAAGCTAAATGGCTTAATGAATGTGTAAATTTCCCTTGTGGGCATTTTAGGACTTTTCTTTGTAGTACTGAACTAGCAAATCCAAAATTTCCAAAAGGTTCTTTACAGTAAGAAACACCTGACAGTTCCTAAATTCATTTCATCAGTGCAATTTTTCTACAGCTTTCAAGAATGATCTTACATCTCTTCAATATTGGTACTTTGGTTTACTGCCAGGATGTGACTAAAAAAGAAATGAGGAGAAGAAAGGCAGCAGAAGACCAAGAATGAACTGGAAAATATTAATATGCTTATACAGAAATTTCAGGAAATAACATCATTCCATGACCCATTCCCAAAACTAATAAACAATTTAGGCTCTCAGCGAAAACAGTATGAAGAAAGACCAGAAATAAGGAGCAAAAATGGTCTGCGTTTGTTGTCATCATAGGAAGTAAATTACACCAGACAATGGTTTGAGCCACTTTGTCACAAAGGGCACCTAATCGTCCCTGTAACTCTTTTGATGTAACTTTCTTTTAAAGTAGCTTTCAAAGGATGGTAGAAAGAAGGCCTCTCTGATTTACAGAGAAAACAAAAGCCACAGTAAAATGCACATAAAAGTTCTTACTTCTTCCTCTCAGAGCCCAATATCCTAAACAGATCTTTAAAGTACTGCGGAACACGGACCACCACATATTCAGAGGGGCCAATGTCTTTCAGGTGGGGGTACAGTCTGGTATCAATGACCTTCTTGATGTAGCCCAGCCAGTCAAACTGAGGAGAGAGGAAAAAGAGAGTGAGAAACTTTGTTAGGCAGCAAGTAGGAAGAAAGGCAAATAAGTCTACTGAGAATTAAAAATCCAACTGCTCATCTTTTACTTACCTAAAAAATAAAGTCTTGATCATTGCCCTTTATGCCTATGGACAAATGGAGTCTGCGTACATGTAACATGTGTACAGGGAGAGCACTCTCACTGGTAATCAGCACTGCTGCTCCCTGGGCTCCTCCAGGTTTTCCTTCCCCCAACTCCATCTCCCTCTGTTCAGCTCTCAGGACCCAGGCCTAGTAGTTGGGTCCATGCTCCCTTCCTCCCACACTTGCCTCTACCTCCTGCACTTGCCTCCCTCCACCCTGCAATCTCCCCCCTCCCTTTTTGGGGCACTGTAGTCTCCTTGTTGCTTTATAGATTCCTCAGTACCTTACAATCTTCTCCCAAAACTGCCTTTTTTTAATCACAGGAAGAAACTAACAGCAACAGAATGTAGAGTGCTTCTCCATTTGTCCCTAAAACACTTCTTGGTGTATTAGATCGACTTCCCTAAATGGCATTTACCAACCTTTCTTCCCTGGCTTTCTCTACTACTGAAATGGACAATTATTCAATTGCCCAGAATCCATCTCACTCTCTACTCCAGAGTTAAGGGTGACCACATGACCCAGAATAAGCAAGATATCTGGGCATTCTGGAAAGGTTGTTTTGTTTTCCTTAGGAAAAGACTCTGAGGTGGCCAACACTGTTCCTTCTCTCTTCTTCTTGCCCTGATGGCAGACACTATAATATATAAAGCTATGGTAGCCACTTTCAAACCATGAGCCATCAAGCATGAAGTCAAAAATCAAATATACTGTCAGGTGTGGTGGTGCACACCTGTCATCCCACCACCCAGGAAGTTGAGGCAGGAGGATCACTGTGAGTTGAGGCCAGCTTGGGCTACATAGTGAGTTCAAGGCCAGCCTGAATTACAGAGGGAGACCTGGTCTCAAAACAAAACAGAACAAAAATCAAATACACTAAACACAGTAGAATACAAAGATAAAAAGAACTTGGGTCTTTGACAGCTGAACCAATACCAACTACCACCTATGTATAGATTTTTATCATATAAGAAAACAGGCTTTATAGTTTTGAGCCACTGTCAGAGATTTTCTGTTCCCCGTAACAGAAGGTAGCCTGATATCCACACAAGGGATGTTTAATGTGATAGCTGACAAAGGTGATGATAACCAAAAGGAACAACAGAAGGTTTTTACAAGGCAAAAATGTGTATAAAGATAAAATGCAATCACTTCTAAAAAGACCAGTTAAGAGAAAACTTCTTGGATAGTTTTCACCAACCTGGGGAATCATAGCATTCAGTTCAGAAATGTTCATTTTGTTGTACATAGCCTCACTGGTTCGGTTTTCATGTGGAATCATTATCTGTTGGGAAAAGACTTTAGTTATTTTTTCAAATGAGCCATTTCTTACTGCATGACTACTTTCTACATATGCCAAACATCTGCACAGTATTAAAAAGTTTTTCAAGGCTTTGGTGTGATGCCAAGCTGAGGAGAGAGACCAAAAAAGACAACATTTTAGGTAGGATTAAGAAAAATATTTTTTAAATTTACATGTTCGCTGCAGTGTCAAAAATTGACCCAGTAAAAGAATTTCTCAGAATGCCCTCTTTCTTTATAATGTGAGGGAGCAAGGTCCATTTCTGCCTTAGGATTGCCAGCCAAAGTGAAGCTAGACCATTGAGCCAAAGGTTCCACTTTCACTTCAGGTCTTGAAATGGTGATGATCTCAATATTTTCTGAGCCACAGACCATCTCTTCCTCTCTACGGGCCAATCTTCACTGAGTAACATGACGCTGTCTAGATTCCACTGCTGCCCATAATCATGCTGTCAACAGCTCATGTATCCTTCTTGTTTCTTTGGCCTTGAGATTCTCTGCACCCGACTGCTGGGAGTATGGATACATTATCACCTAGATACATACTTCAAAACCTACATCTTTACCGCTGACTCCACACTCTTTCCATCCCAAATATTCATGCTTTACATCAGTTGGCCAACACCAAATCAAAGCTTCTAGCTCTGCCATGTCTAGCCCAATCTAAGAACAGCAAGAGTGATTATCTTCCTTGACGGTCATATCAATCACTTCCGTTGATAAACAGTAGCTTCCACATCACCCTGAATAACAGCATGATCATGTTTTATGGCCTTTTCTACATTTGATTTTCTTACATTAAACTCACAACCTTCCACCTAACACATGACCTTATACCTTTGCACCTCCTATTCACTGTCACCACCTCTGTGGTTTGAACTATGATTCATGATTTTGTCTGAGATTTGTGTTCTCTAGCAAGCCTTTCCAATGAAACAAGCCTACACCATTAACAAGAGCTCTCCTTCTGGACAGCCTCAGTAGCTGGGATTGCTGACATGCACGCTTCTTTACCACGACTTATTAGGGCTTAATTGGAATATCCTGCCTCCTCAGAATCAGAAGGTTCTCTAAGACTACATACCCCACTAATTTTGAATATACTCAGTGACCTATAGTGAAAGAGAAAGAGAACATTCCTATTGAGGCAAAAATGTATATTCCACGGATTAGTAAGGCAAAATCACAGAAGGCTGAGTCGCAGGTACTTTCATCTTCTTTTCTAACTGCTTCAGTACCCTTAGCATCTCCCTGCTCATATGTACCTTTGAGTTTCCTGCCTGTATGTGGCTCACAGTCTCAGAACACTGTCAAATGCCACTCTTTCTTTCCTCTCAGGCTCACAGCCCCCAGAGCCTTTAGCCTCAGAGCCATTTCCACCTCCCTGCCAGCTAGTCCCCTGCACACAATGGATTTGTTACTTCATTTAGCTCCTAACAGTTCTATCTTTTCTTAGCCCAGCTGTTTTTAGTTCCCCTTTTGGTTCAACTTATTGCCTCAGGGAGAGCCCCTCTCTACTATATCATACCTTTAGTCCAATTTAGATGTCTGAGCCTCTTATTTGCCTGGGAAGGGAATCTAGACAACCTGTGGACTTAGAACTGTGGCTTAGAGGTACAGTGCACTTCAAAACATCTGCAGCAGTCTTCGTGACCTTCAAAGGTGACATGATGGAATAAATTCTTTGCATCACAGGATGAGTGTGGAAAGAGATATATGGGAACATTATCACATCAGGAGAGACTAATTCCCCACTGACCCTGACTCCATACCTCAACGTACCTCTACCATTAGCTGACAAATCTTGAATTCCTACTCACTTCAGGAATTTTATCAACTTTTATTATAAAAGATCACCAGCCCATATGAAAAAGCTTCTTAATACAAGTGGTTTTTGTTGCTGTTCACTATGGAGTTTTCCCAGAAGAAAATGTGACTATATTTTGTTCTCTCTGGACCTAGGTACATTAAAGGACTGCTATACTTCGATTCTTCTAGAAAAGTTACTGTAGAAACAGGGTTAATCATTTAAGATTTTCTCATTATTCTAGCACAAATCTGTTTTAATATCTTTCTGTCCCTACCTTGAGCCTGAAAGAACTAAAGGTGACTTACTGAGAACATGATATATGTCACAATGGCATACATTAAATTGTGTCAAGAGAGGAACAAAAAAGAAGGGTAGATACAAAGTAGTACCTGAGAGTCAGGTTTAAAATACTTTCTGCATTTCATGTATAATTTCTACATCAAATTTTCTGTTCAGTATTGGTCCACAGACTTCCTTATGCCTAGATTTTATAACAGACTTAATCTGAATGGGAAAGTAAAAAAAGAAGCCTGAAGTAAAATTAACCTGCCAAGGATGGGAGTGTAGCTCAGCAGTAGAACACATGTTTAGCATGGTGAAGCCCTGAGCTCAATCCCTGGCACCACACACAAAATAACCTTCCATTCAATTAAATCAATAAAGATGTACTAAACATATATCTCCTATTTGAACCATACAACAATTTCTGTATGAAGACAAATCTCTCTGTTTCTATTCTTGAACCATAACTAAGCAACACGTAGACATGGAATGCACTTAAACTAGGTAGATAGCATGAAAAGCTCTTTTTCCTATCATAGTTCTTGCTGTTGTCCTTTTCCGGAGGGTGCCATTTAGTCCTACCCAAAGGGTGTTGGCACAGAAGACTGGAAATAAAGAAAGGGACAGGTAAAAGTAATTTTCAGTCGAGACTTACCTCAGCTATCTTAATTTCCAGTCTAAGTACGGACTTCATGTCATGTTCTGCTCGGGAGCTGTTAGCTCCTAAAAGCACAGCAGTGTCCACCATGAATTTATAAAGGGCTTCTCGATACTGTAAGAGATAAAGACACTAGTGACCATGACAACAACCTCATAGGAAGTATGTTAAAGAGACACAGGAGAGCAGGAACAGCAGGTGGAAATAAATGTCCTTCATCTTCACTCTGTACTCAAAATAGGGTGCAGCCATTATGAAATACCAGCTGGCCTCCTACCACTTTGGGAGAAAAAGAGGGATTAGGATGTGGGCACTGTGGCTCTCTGTTTCCAGGACACACAGAAAGGTACAACCATCAAATATCAAGAGAACTAGCTTTCCAATAATGGCTGATATTATGGATACATGAACTATCTCCAAATGAGCCCAGGATAAAATTTTAAAGGTCAGGTGTCTTCTTTTCAGGCGAGTGAACCTTTAATAAAGTAATGGGAAAGGTTTGTTTCTAAAAGTAGGCTGACTGGTCATGAACGCTGGCAGAAACTCTGGTTTGTTCTCATCCAGCTCAATTTACCCATCATCACGCTAAGAAATAAAAGATGAATGCAGTGATTGCAGCCCTGTGGCTTGTTAGTTATGCATTTTCATAAAATTCTCCTCCATAGCTCAGGCGGAAAAAAGAAGGGAGAGAGGAAAGAAATGATGACAAGAAACCAAAACAAAACAAAACAAAACAAAAAAGAAATATAGAATTTCCTCCCTAGTGTACACCTTGGCTCTCTAGATTTTCCTTAGTATGTTTCTAACTTCAGAACATACACAGTCCTTGGCATACGTCAAGCCCTTAATAAAAAGTAGTTGACTCAGTAAGCAAGTCTCAAATAGTCTTAATTAGAAAGAACGCCTGGGCTGGAGAGATGGCTCAGTGGTCTAAAGCACCTACTTAGAACAAGCTTAGCAAAAGCATCAGGGACCGCGGTTCAATCCCCCAGCACCA